TATGCAATGTAAGAGTATCTTGACATCAGCAGTAGTGTGAGCTCACAGATTAGTCTGACAGCTATTGATCGAGTCGGGAGCTATACTTTTCATGCTTTTCCGTGAAACTGTCTTTACCAGTATACCCTGAAGGATGTGTTGCTAATTACTTCAGCACATTTGTCACAGTTTTTCGACAACTGTAACATGTCTTTGGAACTGTCCTGTGTAATACTGACGAATAAACTGTGTTTTGATTCTTCATCATGTGTTGTTATCAATTACTCCAAATCCACAAACTTATAGAATGCAACAATATGGTCCTATGTCTTGCAGTTTAGTTACTCCTTTTTAATTCCTATAAAACGAAATAAGAATAGTGGCAGTCTTAATACTTTAGACAGTGGCAAAACTTTAAGTCTTGGGTCTTTTTTATTTCAGCATAATCAGGCTCCACTCCATACGATACCTGTTGTTCATAGATGAATTTTTTTAATATGGTTTTTATTGATTTCCAATCTTTATGATATAGAGTATCTATGGGATGAACCGGAACATCCATTTGTGGGCCAGGCACATGGCTAAAATTACTGATAGAACTCAACACTGCTCTTTTGCAAGAATATTCAAGAATGTATTCTTTGGAATTAAAGAATTCACTGCTTTTTTGCATGGTATTCTAATACAGTCAAATACCAAAAATTCACCAACCCGAAAACCGCAAACTCCTGAAATCCGTGTTGCCTCCTCAAAATATAAAGATTCGATTTATAGGTTCCGGAAACCATCGAAGAAAAAATACTTGCCGAATAATGACGTCATAATTCCCGAATAATAATGACTCATAAAAGAAATACCTGCATAATCTCTTACATCCAGGAAGATCTGCACAGCCGGAAATACCAAATTATTGACATCATAGTAAAAGTTTTTTCCCTCCAATCTTATCGAGGTAAAAAATAAATCAAGAGTTTCTGAAAAAAATTCTTTCAAGTGACCATTCTATTTCACTTTGTGATTGTAAAAAAAAAAAAAAAAAAAAAAAATTCACCATCCAAAGACTGCATGTATCTGTTAGCAAAATAATGGAATTCTGTTTCCCAAACAACATTAGTAAATCCTGGCATAATGTGGGGCCATCTTCTCTGTTTATTGAAACTGAGAGTGATGACAGTGAATTTTCTTGTTTCAGGGTCAGTGCAGCAAGGGTTAAAGCAGGAGAATTGCTTTTATATTCGAAAGAAAGAATAAATAAGGAGGATTTGCAAGAAGAAGGTATCAATGAATGGATGATGTGTTCAGATCAGCCAACACTGGCATATCAGATGACCGATAATGAAATCATTGGCTCTGTTTTGAACTTGTCACAGCAAGAAAACGATTCCGACACCAACACAAATAGTGAATTTGATAGGAGTGATAAAATATCTTTTAATGAGGATTTGGAACATGGTAAAAAATACCTAAATTTTTTAAAACAATAGAGCTGAGCCACAGAACAAGAGATTAGAGATTACGACTCTGTATAATTTCCAAAAATAACTTACTCTGGAGCATCCTAAAGTTTCAAAACAAACCTCTACTTAAAAAATGTTTGAAACATGTAAAAACAAATGAAATATATTATGCTTTGTTAATATCACTTATTTTTATATATCTTTATTGTATATGTCCTTAATGCTAGTAAATATGCCTATAATCACTAATATAAATGAATAATATACCACATATAATTTAATGCATATAATAAATTAATGTAATAATGTATATGTATATTACTGTAATAATATATATAACAGTTTAATTAAATGTATCTGATGTGCCTTATTTATTTTGCACTTTTAGTCTGAATACTGATTTATCTTCCTTGTCCAAAAATCCGCACAACCTCTGGTCCCAAGCATTGCGGATTTCTGGACTTCTACTGTAGTAACATACCAAAACCTAGACAGCAGTCTTTGTAATATACGGAAAGGTCACTATTATCAAATCCATAAGGATCATGCTCTAATTCCTACAGTACAAGCATTAGTATAGACAACTCTATTCTACAGGTGTCTGGTGACTTCTGATACCACTGAGAATACATATATGAGAGATAAAAAATACGTAATTCAAAATACTCATTTTCATTTGCAGTAGTTCCTTAATTATCTGTTTTAATTTGGTTTCTTCTCCTTTCTGTACGTAAAATAGTAACTGCTTATAACAAATTATTCTGAGCTCTATAATTTCAAAATAAATATCATTAGATTCTTTTACAATGCTAATGATGCCTGCATTAACATAATGATTCCTCCAATAATAATTTTAAATTTAGAAATCAAAACTTAAAATTAGCCAGTGTGAGCAAATGTAAATTAAAATTAAATAATTTTGCACCAAACTTTCATCTTGGAAAAGTAGCACTTTTTCTCTCTATTACTTCACTACTGCAAATTTGCTAATGCCGGCTGCTCGCTCTGTCTTCAAGCACATTTCAAAAGTGTAAAAGATATATGTATATAAATATATACACACACACACACTTATGCAGCTGCAAGAAGTTCAGTATTCATGTTATCAGATAATGAAACTCATCCACACTGAGGATGACAGATAGCATAAAAAAAAAAAAGACTATCAAATGCATACAAAATAATCAGATTGCATTTCTTACACTAAATCTAATTATGGGTGTCAAAAGATTCTCCGGAAGTATACTAGGCAGGTAGACCTGGTATATTTTATCATAATTAAATAATCTAATTAAATTATGTGGAATGCTCCAAGGTACTGGATCCACCATCAGCACCAAGAGAAAGCTTATGAATCTTTCAAAGGAACAAGGATTGTTACTCACCAATGAACTGATCAACAGAACCACAGATAATATAGGATACAGTAGTTGAATATGCAATGATTTTAGAGTGAATGCACAGTGTACCTGTTCACACTTAAATCCTAAATTTTAGAAAACTTTGTGCATACCAATTTTTTGATGAAAAGTGTGTGTTATGTGAAACATATGTATACAATTCTGAAAGAGAAATGCAAATTATCTTTTCCCAAATTTCATCAAATGTCTTCAAAAAAACATTTAAGAATCTTAGAGACAATGTCTAACAATAGGAATGTCTTCATGGAAGCCTTCTTAATTTACACTTGTTTATATCTACACAAGGAAAACAAAAAACCGTTCAGCCACCAGAAAAAAAGGTTGACAAAGAAATAACAAGTTCAGGCATTTGGCAATCGGCTGGGCGATATTTAAAATGTTTCATATAATTTTTTGTAACACAATTTTTTTAAAGGAAAAAACTTTTTATTAATTAATGGAAAGCGATACAGAATTTAGAACAAAGACAACAAATTCACTTGTAATTTCATTTCACTGTTAAAATCTAACTTGAAATTTATGCAACAAAAACTGAAACAAGTTATAACATACTTAATGAAATCAAATAGCAGAAATTTGAAATTTTTTTTCTGAATTGAAAACACAGAACGAAAATTGATAAATATATTACAGGTTAACAACAACTCTGAGGTTCTAAGTTTGTTCATATTATGACTAAAATCTTGAATGGAGGTAAGAAACAAATGAAAAGAAAATTATAATTTTTAAAATACTATTAAAGCAGCAAAATGTATTTTAGAATTATGATTTTAGCAGTTGTTTCCTTCGGTTAAAAATAATTAAACGTAATTTTTGAATAGATTTAATCGAAAATTTCATTAAAAACCTTTAGCTACTATAAAGAAATTAAATATGCACAACTCAAAATGTGGTTATTTACAAATGACTACAATAATTTTTTTTTTTTTTTTTTTTTTTTTTTTTTTTTTTTTGCAGATTCATATTAAGCAGTATTTATAAAGTGAAGATTAATGTGATTTTAAATTAAATGCAAGCTTGAAAATGTATTTAAGCAGTTACAAAGTCTCCATAACAAATTTGAAAAAGAGTAAGCATTAGTTTTGCATGAAACCTTCAATCCATTAATTCAACTACTGTTCCATCATCAAATAATAATACCCAATGCCTGAATTTCTACATTTCTGAAGCTGAAAAATAAATACATTCTTTTACAAATGATACCTAATATCCTATAAAATATATGATAAAGAGAGATTGACATTTTCATCAAAAGTGATGTTAAGCTGATATCACTTCTTGAAATTTCTTCATATCATAACTAAACTTCACAAAGTGTTCTATGACTTTCAGATACCATCATTACTACAGAGTAGAATAAATACAAAAATGCTGGGAAAATTACTGCATCATAAATATATAAAGCCAAATTATTGTAGTTAAGTATTAGTCAAGTATAAGGTTTAAGTTAAGTATTGGAGATTTTGAAAAATGTAAAATTCTCAACTAAATTATTCTAGTAAAAGAAACCAAAACTAAAATATTAGTTTTTTAATAATATGCTTGCATGTTTGGCACACAATTGTCTCTAGCAAAATAATAAAAAATATCAAATAGTGTCAATTTGAAAAAAAAAAAAATGCAAAATGCAGTTTTAATGACCTTTTACATATTTAAATACAATGAAGTTTTTGAGCAACAGTTTCACATCAACTTAACAACTGTGCTTTAATTAACCACTTCATTGTTTTTTCAGAGAAACTCGTCAATTTGAAAAGTGTTGTCAGTAAGTTTTGAAAGATTTTAATGATTCATATAATATCAAAAATCCAATTGCCATCTTAAATATCCAAACAATTCTATAAGTAAACAATTGTATAAAAACCACTGCTTACACTTTTCAAACCGACAAGTCTCTTTTGGGGCAAATAGTAAAGTAGTTAATGGTATATTACATCAGTTTTTGCATTGCAAAAGCAAGTTAGACATTGTACATTATGTTATTAGAATCAGGTCCATAATTTCTAGTAAACATTAATATTGTTTACTTATTCACATATAATTTTGTCCAGGAAATATTATTTTAATTAACCATCAGGTGATAACCATATCACATAGGGACATTACAGATGGTCTTTTTTTAATAATAAAATAAAATACTTACTTATTTTAAAATGTACAGCTCCTTGTAAATCTCCAACATTTATCCAACCATTTTGTCTTTCAATTTGCTGTTCATAAGTAAATCACAAGGATTATTACATAATTATTCCAACTTTATTTCACATTATAATAAAGTAAAAATGGATTATTACACAAAAGAAACTATTCCTTAAAATTTCAGAAGTTACATTTTATTTCTTCAGTTAACATCTACAAGATCATAAAATACCATTAAACATCAAAGTGATATGAAATGCTGTTAAAACATTAACGATCTTCTGTTATGATGTTCTCAGTGTAGAGATTTCATGGACACTTAGTTTATAGCAGTGATAGAAATTTATGGTTCTTTAATGTTTAGCTGTCTTGGCACAAATTTTGATGTTCAGTAGTTAGATCACACATTAAATGAATCAAAAGTCAGAAGGGCATCTTTTACCCAGCTTTGCTTATGAAACATGTACAGTTAATTTACAGTAAAAAAGCACAGAAGTCTCTAATGCTTAAAACATATTTTTAAAAGTTTTATGATTTGACAATTACTGGAAAAAAAAGCAAAATATTAAAAAATTATATAAAATGCCATTATATGTGTATTACAGATAAATATAACTAATTGTAAGGTCTTTCTCATAACTCAGTATTTGTTTTTTTCTAGACAACCAGAACACATTCCTGCTTTTCGGAATATGAATAAACGAAAAGACTACAAACACATACAGTTGAATCTGCTCCTAGACCCACTACATATTCTCATTTAATTCATATATTTGCAATGGATGAAGAGATGGTTGAAAGAAGAAATTCAAAATTTTAACATATCTTTAAATTCCCATAGTGCATACTAGTGAAATCTATGTATTCAGCTCAACCTGAAATGGTTATCCTTGTGAAACTTCAGACCTTAAAGGGTGAGAATGATTAATGCAGTTACAGTATTGAACCCCACCTCCAAATAAAGCTGAAAGAATTGCAGGTGTAGTTCTATTAAGGGCAGCATTAAAATTTATCCCAAACTTTCAGCTTTTATAACAAATATTTTGAGCAAGTAATATGTATTTATATAAAACATGCTATTAGCAACTAGAACAGCTTAATAATGAGGGCAAAAAACCCACTCTTTCAGGTACACATTATAAATGGACTTTGAAAGACTACAAAATTTTTTTATTTAAATAACTTAACCATCAGAAAAGAAGACTCTCAGGATCCAAAATGACTTCCTTAATACTTTTGTTCTTAAGTCTAATTTGTAGTTTCCAAAAAGATCATCTTTCAATGCATATCTTTTTAAGTTGCAGGTATTTTAATCTAATTAAATGTGTATTAACCTAATATACTAGGTTTATAAAACACATAGGCTCAATTTTATAACAACGACCTACCATTTCAAAAATGCACATCATATTCTGTAGAATAAAAAAAATTCTCACAAATGCATTATATCTACATTGATTTATAACAAATTTCATTTGTCATAAAAACATATGCCTTACTTTATTTTTACCATATCACTGAAATTCTGCTCAATTTTTTTCTGTCACACTAAGTGCTCTAATTTCCATATAAGTAACATTTTCCATTTACAATAGCTTACATTCTATAATATAAATGCTAAAAATAAGCGAAACTATCTGAAACAACTGATCCACTATGGAGTAATCAAATTGAAATGCTTGTTGTTTTTTTATATTAAGAGGTGAGTGAACTTCTGGGGTGATAGCCATAGTAAGCTTTTTGTGTTTCCCTACCTTGTATTTTTATTTTCCTTTTTGTGTCTCATGTGCAGTTTAATTGCAATAGTTTTAATTTGAATGCTTAATCACAGGTATTAGAGATATACAACAAGAAATTGTAAATTTTATGTGTATACTATTTAGATATAAAAAACTCCATCGAAAATATATGTTTTTTGATATTTTTTTTTGAATGCTTGCCATAAAAACATATTTCTAATGAAAAAATGAAAATACACTGAAGATAGGGCATAACCACTGGATGCAAGATATCAGAAATGTAACGATCTGCATTCAGATTACCATTAAAATTGCAACACCATGAAAGAAACCAAATACAAAAAAGATATTTATTGTATGTAAACAGTATGACATGAAAACAAAAGGGTTCAATTTGTAAGCAGTTTGGGGGTTTAAAGGAGTGTGAAAATAGTAGAAACAGCTGCTACCCCTGGCAGCTAAAACAGCCCTTACCCGGTTAGGCATGGAGGTGAACTGGGCTTGGATGACAGAATGGGCAACTCATTGCATGCTGCTTCAAGTTCATGTCACACTTCATCAACTGTATTAGATGTGGCGAGCCAATCTCTCAGATACCGATGACCAGATGTTTTCAGTGGGTGACAGTTCTGAAGAACGTGCAGGGCAGGGCAGCAATCAAATACTCTGTGTATCAATGAAGGTCATAACAGGAGGTGCAACATGTGGTCTTGCATTATCTTGACGGAAAATGGCATTTGGCAGGCTTTGAAGATAAGGCACAACCACCGGACATAAGATATCAGAAATGTACCAATCTGTGTTCAAATTATCGTCGATCTGAACTAGAGATGTTCGTGTCACACACCCAATGGCTGCGCAAACCCTTAGACCAGGTGCATGGTCCTTATACCAAACCGGATGCAAGGAGGCGACGTGCGGTATCCTTGGAGTTCCAGACAAGTATACAGTCATTATAACTACATTGATCATTAGAATACTGAACATACGGTCATAGAATACTGAATGCAGAACTGGGACTCGTCTGAAAAGATAACATTGTGTCACTCCTCTACCCAGCATTGTTGTTCGGTTCACCAAAGTTGCCGTGTCAAGGGAAGCCCAAGTAATGATTACTGTGCTGATAATCCACACTGCAGCTAATGTCGACGCACCCGAGCAGATAATGCGAGTACTACAAACATGCCCATTTCTTGACTAATGATCCATGATGTGATTGTACGGTTTTTAAGGGCTGACCTCACAATATGTCTGTCCTCTCATGCATTAGTCATCGGAGGACATTGAGATTTTGCATCCTGGTCAGTGTGATCCTCAGCAACACATTGATTTCATATTCACATGACAGTGGTTGAATGTCAACCAGTGCAACGGGCGATATAATGGAACAATAATCCAGACTCTCGATAGGCAACAATCCTGCCTCTATTAAATTCCGACACTTGCTGGTAAGCATTTATTATTATTATTCGAGGCATAACACGATATTCTCAGCAAACGCCGTCCTTACAAAGCACTTTCCGAATGAGAAATCCACTACACAACTTTTCTTTTTTGCAGTGCTTCTGACGTCGTTTTCCCTCCTGCATCGTCTAAATGTGCTGAAATGCTAATCATTTGCATATCCAAACCTCTTCTTCCTTTTGTGTGATTTTGACATTCGTCAGATCATTCCTTCCTGGTGTTGAAATTTTAATGGTCAACAGTGTATTAGTCTCAGTGGTAAACAACATCAAAATTCAATTTTAGGAAGGCATTCCATTTATTTAAATATGATGTTTTTGAACTATCATTTGCGTCAATTTTTTCAACAAACTTACTTCTATTAATACTGACTTAACAAGAGCTTCTGCATTACAAAATAAAATCCAAAATTGTGCTAATCTAATCCAGATCAATGATTTACATTAAGATTATAAGTGAATATTTATGCATATTTTGATTATAAGTGAATATTTATGCATATATAAACTAATTTTTCCACTAAAAAATCAACTTAATTACACTTCAGGTAATAAATATCTCATGTAAGAAGGATATTTTAAAAATTACTTTTCTTAATATTCTACAGAAAAGAATTATGAACATACCTGTTAAATAAAATAAACTGCTTACTTATTTTAATCTGATTAATATAAAAATACAATTTACAGATACTACATTTAATATAAGAATGCAATACAAGTTTAAATGTAGACAATTTTATAGGGTAGTTATACGTAAATTTTTCATTCAAAACGGGATAGAATAGTTCAAGAGTTTGGCATTCAATGGCAAACTGACAACAATACAAACTGGCATTACCAAGGTATAAAAATTACGCACATGTGACCAACCTAACAAAATTTTAATATATGAGGAACTATACAATGTGTTTTCTATTACTTGTGAAAAATGCAGATTGCCCTATCATCCTGATTCTATGATTATAGTAATTACATTTTTATTCTAAAATTGTTTCTTTTTTAGGGTTCCCATTGAAATACAACTTCAATGGGAACCCTAAAAATGATTCTATTCAACCACCCCTTTTTCTGATTGAAATAGTGCAACAGTCAGTTGGGTGTGCAAGTGCTTTTAAAAGACATTGGTTTTCTTTGCCTTTCCAATGAGAACCAGTTTCAATTTGTGGTTTCCTGCCACATTAGAGCATGTCATTATTGTGACACAAGATTTACTAATCTTGTGAGCAGAAGCATTCTTTTCTGTTTTGGATACAAGAGTTTATGTTGGCAAGTTTTTCCAAATTAATTCTGATTCATTAACATTGTATATTTGCTCTAATTTCCAGCCTCAATCAAGTTTTTAAAATCACTGCACGTCTTTTGCTGCATTCTGATCACCACTCAAAAGTTCACTGTGCACTTTGAGTTTTCGAATACCATGGCACTATTTGAAAGACGTAAACCATCCTGAGGATGCACAGAATTCTCCTCTGGTCCTAACTGCTGGGAAAAAATACTTAGCTTTTTTTGCACCAATCAAGTCTATGATTTTCCAGACCAAACAAAATAAACTAGTTTTCAATGTAAGCATCAGTAACTAAATACTTTTATATGTTAACTACAAAATACAATCCAATAACTATGAACAGAATAAAAAATATATTTATCTTATGAGAATTAATTTAAAATTCCACAAACAGTCTAAATTCTGTTTTATGTTCTCTTGATTCATGTCACATATATTCCCTCAGACCAGATGGTAATACAAAATTAAGAGGTAATACAAAATTAAGAGCAGTTGAAAAGTGTATAAAACTGTAACTAGGTTAACTGTAACTTGTGCCTATCAAAGTGAATGTCCCGTGCTGCCTTGGAGAAGGTTAGCAT